TTTCAGTGTTTCATGTAGAGGCCCCACTATTAGACTGTAGTTAGCGATCCAGATGCAGCAAACCCTGGTCTCCCCAGGAACCCCTAAGCTGTCTCAAAAAAAAAAAAAAAAAAAAAAAAAGAAATGGTTTAGCAGTAAAAAGTGGATATTCAATGATTTTGGGAACTTTGTAGTAAAGGGTTAACACTGTTTGGAAGTTACCTACTAGGTGCCAGGTTAGCCCTTGGACTTCTCTGGTTTAGAGTCCTCACAATTCTACCAGATGGGTATAATTTCTATTTTCGCACTATAGAAACTAAGCGGGAACAAAGGCTCAGAGTGCTTAAGTAACTAGACAAAGTCACACAGCTTAGAAACTAAGTTATACTATGAATTCTATTCAGTCAACATCAAATCTCATTCTTTCAACAGAGGATGCAGACTTTAAGCACCAAGTAAACAAACTCAAGACATTTTCTCCTTTCTGTATGATTCTCTGAAATATATGCCATCATTTCATGGGGAGCTTATGCTAAGCATGACTTCATAAACAAATCATTTGTGAAAGAGAAAAACCACATCCAGGGCAAAGTCATAAGTTGAAAAAGCCTTATTTCAGAGAGTACTTCCTGAAAGAGACAAAGCAGCGATTACAGCTGAACAAGTACCAACTCCTATACCGAGTATTATATTTGAAACAACTTCTTAAAGCAACGGAAGAACCTAAAACAAAAGAAATACAGCATTTCTTAAATATACCATTTCTAGAAAGAGCTATTTTAACACAAGCAACTCAAAGAAATCCCTTTTACAGAACTGGGTATACCGAGAAATGTTCCTCTCAAACACAGCCTTTTGATGCACAGGAGGTAAGTAGCATTTAATTAACTTCACCACAGATTATCAGAAATAATGCTGTACTTATTTACTAAATCTCAAAATCCTTGTGTTTTTTTAATAATATATTACTGAAACTATGTTGGTGAAGGACCCTCAAATGGGATATACTGTCATCTTCCTACATTATTAACATGTTGTTTCATTTATTTTCAATAGTGCTTTACATTAATAGTAAATGTAATTTTTTTAAACTTAAAGGAAATGTTGATACAATAAATCATAAATATCTTTAGGAGTCTTTGTCACCTGGTTTCAATTACATTGTTTCACAGAATGTACTTAAAGGCTTTTAAGAAAAGACTATAGCTAATCATGGAATCTAAAGCTTTTAAAATGCTGACTTAAAAGCCAATCACTTTTCGATATTTATCCAAAAATTCATCCGTGTGTACAGAGTACAACCTGTATGGTAATGCCTTTAAAACACATGCATCACACACATTTTAGTTAACCTTAAGTAAATGAACACAACTGTTGGTGACATAAAGTCAGCTTGAACCCAATGAGGGGAAAAAGATTTACTCAAAAATGGTTTGTAAGTAAGGAATTTATGTGACAAAATTGGGGAATAAGGATGGGTGGAGGGAGTTCTGATACAAAAGAAAAAAGGATACAAAATGTCATTTACATTACAATTTTTACTATTTAAAAATTCATGGAAAGTTAAAAATGAGCCAAGTCTCTAAAATTATTTTCCTTTGTAAAATACTAGAGAGTTAATTTTTCTATGTAGTATTCTTCTCATTTTAGAGAAATTAATATTCTAGTCAACACAATATTTGGAAATTTTAATAAATACAGGCTTTTAAATATATAGAATTCTACTCCAAAATCATATTTAACCTAAATATCTGGCAAACTCGCTACAGTCAGGAAGGTAGGAAGGGAAGAAAGGAGGGAGAAGAAAACAAATTCATACCTTGTGTTTGTCCTCAGCAACTGCTCAAATTAATTTTAAATTATAGCCCATGATGGCACTACCAGATGGCTAACCTCCCCCAGTTTTCACTAAAGAGAGACTCGGGGCTGAATGAGAGAGAGACCATTCTGCAAAGTGACATTTTTGAGGGAAACTTTTCTTACACCTCCATATTTCAAGGGGGATGCCACAAGGTTCCATCTCTTTGTAGCGAGTCTATTTTTAAAATCACTGTTGTTGATGTTATATTGTGGGTGATAGAAATTTCACACTAAGGGGGTCACAGCTAAACTCCTTTCCAGTAGAAATGGGCATTTGGGCGGGGGGTGGAAATTAGTTTCTGCAAACACATAAAGTTACTGAGCGACTTCTTACTAATAACTATTTGTCTTTGATATTCCTTTTTAAAAGTTAAATTTGACAAATAATACTTACGCTTCTGGATCTCGGTAGAGTGAGGGCGTGAAAGTTACTATACTAGCAATATCTTATTCTCAAGGTGTTGCTCTCCGTGCACCACTGCAGCAGTGTAATCCGCTTCTGGGGCACTGGTAAACACCATCTGGAAAACTCAGCATTAGGCACTCCCAACTGTGCATTAAAAACTAGCCCATCTATTGTTTTAAGAGTCAAGTTCTTGTGGGACTTCCCTGGCAGTCAGGGGTTAAGACTCTGCGCTCCCAGTGCAGAGGGTACAGGTTCGATCCCTGGTCGGGGAACTAAGATCCCTCAGGCCGCAAGGTGTGGCCAAAAAAAAAACAGAGAGAGTAAAAGTTCTTGATCTGTATACCATGGCACAAGACACTGCTGTTTCTAGACCTATGATAATCTAGAGAGAACATAATACTACGAAGAAGTGTTTGCCACTTAAAAAAAACAAAATGGTTTAAAGGCCAATTAAGCAAGCCTTCATTGACAAACTAGGGAGTGCTTGCTATGGATCACCCTGCCAAAGTTTCCTTCCTTCACTTATCCATCAATTCAGCAAATATTACTGAGTATCTACTATGTACTCATCAGGCAGTGGGGATTTAGCAGTAAAAAGGAAAAGTTCCTGCTCTCAAATGAGAATTACTGTGAATATTCAGTAAGCAACCAGTTATATGGTTTCTTTATTAGTTTTCTAATACATAATTTATATATTAAAATTATATTTAATGAGTAAAAATTCATTATTTGGACATTACTAATCTGGGTTACCAAATATTTAAACAGAATGAAGATGATAAAAGGTGGCAAAGTATCAATACTTTCTAAGATTCAAAATTCAGAGTGGCCTTTCCCCAATTAGTCCCAAACAAAGGATACCTACCATGGGCACAATTGCTACCCAATTTCACACTACAGAGAGAAAAATGAATACAATTGCCAGTGCATCATGACACACCAGACCATCTTAATACACTGATATGTTAGTACATATTAGTAATAATACCTAGGGAGTGTATTTCTTAATAAATACTAAGACACATATATTGACTCCATGACATAAAATACTGTCAAAATTAAAATCCACTGATATGCCAAGTCGAGTGTGGGAATGTTAAGCATTTATTTTTTCAACAAAGAGTTTTATTCCTCCTATTCTTAACTATTTTACAGTTTCTAAGTGTCATGCCCACAACAAGCTATAAGATGACCACCCCTCACAGTCAAGCTCAACCTGGCCCTTCTATCGACCCGTATCCAGACGAATACAAAATAGCAGCCCTCGTCTTCTACAGCTGTATCTTCATAACTGGCTTATTTGTTAACGTCACTGCCTTATGGGTTTTCAGTTGTACCACCAAGAAGAGAACCACTGTAACCATCTATATGATGAATGTGGCACTACTGGACTTGATATTTATAATGAGCTTACCCTTTCGAATGTTTTATTATGCAAAAGGTGAATGGCCGTTTGGAGAGTACTTCTGCCAGATTCTTGGGGCTCTCACAGTGTTTTATCCAAGTATTGCTCTATGGCTTCTTGCTTTCATTAGTGCCGACAGATACATGGCCATTGTACAGCCGAAATACACCAAGGAACTTAAAAACACATGCAAGGCCATGCTAGCGTGTGTGGGAGTCTGGATAATGACCCTGACAACCACCATCCCACTCCTACTGCTCTATGAAGACCCAGATAAAGCCTCCAACCCTGCCACCTGCCTCAAGATTTCTGACATCATCCACTTAAAAGCTATTAATGCGCTGAACTTCACTCGACTGATTTTCTTTTTCTTGATTCCTCTGTTCATCATGATTGGGTGCTACTTGGTCATTATTCATAGTCTCCTTCACGGTAAGACATCTAAGCTGAAGCCAAAAGTCAAGGAGAAGTCTATACGGATCATTATCACGCTCATGGTGCAGGTGCTCGTCTGCTTCATGCCTTTCCACATCTGCTTTGCTTTCCTAATGCTGGGAGGGGACGAGAACAGCTACAACCCCTGGGGAGCCTTCGCCACCTTCCTCATGAACCTCAGCACCTGTCTGGATGTGATTCTCTACTACATTGTTTCAAAACAATTTCAGGCTCGAGTCATTAGTGTCATGCTATACCGCAATTATCTTCGGAGTGTGCGCAGAAAGAGCTTCCGCTCGGGTAGTTTACGGTCCCTAAGCAACATAAACAGTGAAATGTTATGAACGGTCATTGTTTGTCTTCGATCTCTTTAAATTCACTTTACTAACTTAGGGTCAGTGGATATTCTGTATGATATCATCAAGTCCCTTCTCTCCTGAAAACAAATAATAAACTTTAAGAACTCTTCCTCCTTTGTGAGACCTTATTATTGTGGCAGCATAATTAAATACACTAAAGTATTTTAATAAATTCATTATCTTTATTTTTAAAACCTGTATAAAACATTTTCATGAATTACTGGGAGAAAAGCATCCAATGGGGGGATGAAAAAAAGCCTAAGCCATCCGTACTATTCTAGACGGCCCTGATGCCACCTTGAAGAAGCTTGATTTTTATTCTGAAGAAAATAAGGAGTTAGAGGTTTTTAAAAGGAAGATTAGCATGGTCAAATTTGTATTTTAGAAAGATAACTTCTGAAAACATTGCATGAAATACTTTGGAATTGATAGGAAGACTAGTTGGAGAATTACTGCAAAAATCTAGGCAAGAAAAGACTAGTTAAGACTGGGATAATGACAGAAGGAGTCAAGGAGATGCGATGAAGAGCTGACTTACATAGGACTTCGAATGAATAAGAGTTGGTGCCCTACGCCACTGATGAGAAGAGGGAAAGATTTCCAGCTTGGATGACTGAGTAGATGAAAATGCCATTAATTAAAATAAGGAGTACAGAAGGAGGAGGAGATAAGAGTGCAAAAAGAGAGGTGATCAGAGGAGGTAAGAGCTTCTGAACATGATGAATTTTCCTTGAGTCTTAGAAGTCACTAGGAAATATGACTGAAGAAAGATCAAGAAAGCAATATGGACTGGAAATAGAGAGCTGGGAAACAAACAACAGATGCTAACTGTAGTTGAAGTCATGGGGGTGGACGCGACAGCACAGAGAGAGCACCTGGAGTAAGCTTGAGAAAGGAGCTGCAAAGAGTAAAGGAGGTCAAGGAGGACCAGGAGAGAGTAGTGTGCTAGGATTCAAGCGAGCAGGTTATTTCATGAAATAATGAGATGTCAAAAGCATTTAATGTGCCACTGAAAGGTCAGATAAGACAAGTGAAAACAAGCCACTGGCTTTAGAAATTAGTTGGATACTGGTGACCTTTATAAGAGAAGTTTTAATAGTGCTGAGGTTAAAAAAGAGAGAGAGAGAATTAAATAGGAAGTGAAGAATTGCAGGAAGTGCAGGTAAACTTGGCATTGATGAGAAAGAAAAAGGTAACAAGACATTATGTGGAAAACACTGCAAATTATAAAACACATTGACTAAAAATTTCCTCTCCTGAGTTTTTGAAGCTTTGCTTACCATCAAATAAAAGATATATTTACAAAATGCAAAGTTTATTGGAGTAAAGATTTAGGTTCCAAGAAGTCTATGTTTGAGAACGCAACAAGATTCAAAAAAGCCATATTATAATGTTTCATGATTTAAAAGGAAAGAGAAATATATTCTCATTCAGGTGATGTCTGAATTAACATTCACACTGTCTTTCAAAGGGGATCCTATAACTTTTGAATTTACTCAAATTTTCAATTCTTGCTACTAGCTAAGATTTAAATAGGTAAAAAGCCTTCTGGCCTTAAGAATTAGTAAAAAACATTGCCACCAACTTCAAAATTGAATCAATCTTCCTTATATGTACCAGTCACGATTCCATAAAGAAATAAGTGTCATTCATTCAAAGAAATAACTGTCATTCAACTCTATGTGCAATAGAAAAACAAAAAGTCATCACACAAGGGGACGATGTAAATAAGAATTAAAAGCTATGTTACTACCCCATCCACTACATTTATTCTAACACAAACATACACGATACACATAACCCTTCTACAACTCAGTAGGCCTTATAAAGAACCAAAAAGAATTGGCCTCCATGAGAAACGTTAGGGGAAAACTAATGATTTAATAATGCTACTTCTTTTCTGAATCAACATGGAATCATTCCTAATGACTACACTATTTACCACAATAGCAGAATAGCCAACTTAAACTTCTTAGTCTAACTGCAATTACAACCCGTGAAACTAAAAAACTGCATAATTATGGCACAGAACTTTATGTGTCTCCATTAAAATATTATTCAGAATCATATATTATTAAGACAACTAAACAACAATACTCATGCCAATAATTCAGTAAATCCCACGAAGGGCAGCTATTACCATAAATATTAACAATGTAAGTGTGAGAGCTATAAGATCACTAACCATATTTTAAAAATAGAGATCCAAAGTGAATCTAAATCAAGGTACTTGCAATAGCCTAACAGTTCTCAAAAATATATACTGAAAATTAAAATAAGGCTGAAGTTAGTACACACAAATTTTAAATATGTTACCTTTATTTTATAGTATCTCATCTCTTTTTTTTTTTTTTTTTTTTTTTTTTTTTTTTTTTTTTTTATTAATTTTATTTTTTATTTTTTGGCTGTGTTGGGTCTTCGTTTCTGTGCGAGGGCTTTCTCTAGTTGTGGCAAGTGGGGGCCACTCTTCATCGCGGTGCGCGGGCCTCTCACTGTCGCGGCCTCTCTTGTTGCGGAGCACAGGCTCCAGACGCGCAGGCTCAGTAGTTGTGGCTCACGGGCCCAGGTGCTCCGTGGCATGTGGGATCTTCCCAGACCAGGGCTCGAACCCGTATCCCCTGCATTGGCAGGCAGATTCTCAACCACTGCGCCATCAGGGAAGCCCCCTAGTATCTCATCTCTTAAAAACAGTCTCAGAAACTTAATTCAGAGATGCTTTAAAGGCATTTATACGTGCTAACAACTCTGCTCCTAAATGCCAATTATTTCATAAACTAATACATGTTTTCTCATTTTGTTTTTAAAGAAGACCAACACAATATGAAAGCACAGACACTCTGTGAGTTAGGTTGCCCACTGCAGATTGGCTACAAAGTTATAACCTATATACTGATTTTCTTTTACCTTTGGTGGAAATATATAAACGATATCATTTAAGAAAAGCATCATTCTTCAGAAGCTTAACTTCAGACAAATAAATTTTGTTTCCTAACCTAATTAATTAAATTTTGTATTTTTATGTTTAATTAGTTAACAAAGTTACAAAGACAAAATTTCACTATGAAAACACAATTCTATCTTCAGGACCAGAAGAGAAAATTCATTAAAAATTCTCTAAAATATGAGATTTGAAAGCTAAAAAAAAGAGTGAGTGTAAAACAGATTCTGTGTCAAGAACATAATGAAAATGTTAAGTATACACTGGAATTTTTACATATAAAATCAATTTTACTATATCTAAAAGTTTAAAATATTCTCTGACTTCCATGTATAATAATGCTTTAAGTCAGATTTAAGTAGTTATGAATTAAGCTAATATTTGAGAGCTACTTACAGTCCAGAAGGCAAATTCCTGGCTGCAGTGATACCAAAGGAATACCGCACAGCTTCAACGAGGATAAAGTCACCCACCGCTGACAAAACCCAGGAACCCAGCAGAAAGGACTGAAAATAAAACAGGAAGAGCATTACAGAGAGGAGTCTTCTAAAAATAAACTAACATTTATTTAATTAGAACCAGCTCAGGTATATATATATTTTTTAAAGTTTGTTTTTTGTTTGAATAGACTTTTCAAAGTGAGGGAGTAAAACCATACTGGTCAAATGTGTTAACTTCCATAATTTCTAAGTATGTTGAAGAAAAGATATTTATAGCATGACTTATTTTTACAACTAATACACAAACCATTAAGCAAAATAAGTGATTAGAATTTTATTAAAATAAAAATCCTTATTAAAATGGTTATTGCTGGGCTTCCCTGGTGGCGCAGTAGTTGGGAATCCGCCTGCCAATGCAGGGGACACAGGTTCGAGCCCTGGTCCAGGAGGATCCCACATGCGCGGAGCAGCTGGGCCTGTGTGCCACAACTGCTGAGCCTGTGCTCTGGAGCCCGTGAGCCACAAGTACTGAAGCTCGCGTGACTGGAGCCCGTGCTCCGCAGCAAGAGAGGCCACGGCAATGAGAGGCCCGTGCACCGCAACGAAGAGTGGCTCCCACTCGCTGCAACTAGAGAAAGCCCGCGCGCAGCAACAAAGACTCAGTGCAGCCAAAAAAAAAAAAAAGTTATTGCCCACTCACACTGATATTATCTATTATCATCATTATTATTTTATTATGCTAATGGCTTAAATTTAAATTGTTTCTTTGGTTAATGTCCATGTTCCAAATCAGACAGGATCATGTAATAAAAAGATAATTGTTAATGAAACACCAAGCTTAACAAAATAAAACTATTTAAAAACAAGAAAACAGAAACATTTTTTTCTATAACCTAAGTAGCAAAGGGAAAATACATAAAAACTTACTGCAAATTTTCTGCTTCCATATCTTCTTTCAAATATCCTAAAATTATAAATAAGCAGACTACTGCAGAAAGTATCTTTCAAATCAAGGCAAATTATTCTTCCACAAATCAACCTCCAAATCTAGATGGGGATTTAAAAAAGAATAACAAATAAGAGTAAGATCTGTTCAGGTCTCTTCCTTGGCACATTTATTACGTTTATATTATACTGCTTATTTTTAATACTCTAAGCTCAGATTCCCCAAGGTAGAACTGAAACTCTCCATATCTCTGTAGCAGCTCTTAGAAATGCACACTGAGGGCTCCTTAAGAGGTTCTAGCAGGAGAGTGTGGCTATTTGCACTCCTAGACAGAGGGTGACTGTCCTCCATCCAGGCAGGTCCCACCTCTAGAGCACAAATGCCCACAAAGTGGTGCAGGAGAAGGGGACGGTTGCCGACTTAGCCAGCTGAACCAAATTAACCCCCCAAACAAAATGGTACCAACTCAGGGCCACAGGGCCCTGACATTCCCTTACAGCAGTGGTTCTCAGGGCTGGCCATATGCTAGAATCCCCTGGGGATCTTTCTAAAAAAGTACACCAATGCCCGGGCCCCACCACTAGGCTCCCTGACTCAGTTGGTCTAGGGTGAGGTCTTGGCATCAAAAAACAAAAAAACAAAAAAAACAGTTTATGTAGGTGATTCTACTGTGCAGACAGGATTAAGAATCATTGTATTACAGCAACTGAAATCATACTGAAGCTCTACTATATTCCAACAGAAAGCAGTAGTATGGATAAATAACTGAATCACAAGAACTTAGTAAAAGCCCACCTAAGCAATGGCATTAATGACATCCTTATGAAGAAAAGATGTCAGTGCTCAAGAATGGATTATCATGCTTAAAATGGCTAATCAAGTATTTAGCAAAGAAAAGGTGGCAGGTTATAACCATAATTTGCACTAACACTCTCTGATATTGTCATTTATAATAAGAAATATATTTTGGTCTTTGCCCATTGGAATTTCCAAAGTGAAGAAAGCTATAATGGTGTCTTTTGTCATGTTAATGAGGTGAGTTCTGGAAGCACCTAAGAATGGGGGCTGGCTTCCAGGGGAACCAACCTTGTGATTAGAAGGTCAGAACTTTCAGTCCCACAGCCTGACCTCCGGGGAGGGAGAGGGACTGGAGGGCGGATCAACTGCCAATGGCCAGTGTTAATCAATCCTGCCTATGTAATGAATCTCCATAAAAACCCAGAAGGACAGGGTTCTGAGAGCTTCCTGGGTGATGAACATGTGAAGATCTGAGGAGAGTGGGGCTCAGAGAGAGCATGGTAGCTCCGCACCGTTTCCCCTTACCTTGCCCGATACATCTCTTCCATCTGGATGTTCATCTATATTCTTTAATAATAAACTGGTAATCCAGTACATAAAATGTTTCTCTGAGTTCTGTGAACTGTTCTAGCAAATTAATTGAGCCCAGGGAGGGGGTCGTGGGAACTCTGATTTATAGCCATTCGGTCAGAAGTACAGATAACCACCTGGGCTGGTGACTGGCATCTGAAGTGTGAGTGCAGTGGGCAGTCCTGTGGGACTGAGCCCTAACCCTGTAGAATCTGATGCTCTCTGGGAAGATGGTGTCAGAACTGAGTTCAACTGTAGGACACCCAAGTTGGTGTCTGAGAATTGCTTATTGTTGGTGTGGGGAAATCCCTGCCTAGTTGGAAATGGTACCGGAATACCCCTTTTGCACTCCAACTCACAGACAAGACCCAGCACCAGCATTTTTCATGTGATCAACCCATAAATCTTGAAAGCCATAGACTTCTGCTCTTCCCAGCAGCAAAAACCCAAGAGAAATTTCCTACTTGGTTTAACCACCACTATAAAAGTAATTCACAGACTCTCCATCTATTAGAGCTGAGAGAGCTTAGCTCCTCTAACAGATATTCAAACTGAGGCAAGTTTTTGAAAATGTTAAGTATGCATACTAATCATACAAAAAACAGATTTAACATTGTTTAATTCTCTTGAAATTAAAAACTGCATTTCCATGAGTAAAAACTGAAGCTGAAAAGAGATGTGTAAAAGGAAATACGGCAACTGCTTCATTATAATCTGCTTTGCTGAAATTATCAATAAATACAACTAGAGAAGTTACTTGCTAGTGGGATATTAATAATAAATAATATTTCTTACAAATTTAGAGGCTTTGAGACCCTAAGAATGGCAGGAAGAAAGGCAAATCAAAGAAGGCCTGCCTTCTCCCCTCCCAGAGGCCAGTGGAGCGGAGCTCACCTGGAAGTCGTCCTTGACTGCCTGGAGGTCGTACACAAAGAACCTCTGGCAGTGTGGAAGGAGGAGGGCCAGCAGGAGGGACAGGGCACTGGGGACCAGTAAAAGACCCTTGGACACAGGTGCTTTGTCTGGAGGGAAAAACAAAACTGCTTTCAGAATGACTGTCCCTAAGATTTTTAAAACCACACGATTGAAAAGCAAGAGAATTCACTTCTTTTGAATTAGAATGAAGACAAACTTCACACACTCTGGAGTTAATTCTTATTAACATATATTTTCAAAACATCTTCCTGCAGAGGTAAGTGATCAAAGGGCACTGGAAAACAAGTGAAATCAGCTGATGGGGGCTTCACTGTCATCTGGCTCTTATACTAGACCAAACCAAGTTTACTTTCATGGAATACCTTTTTAGAAAACGGTCACCAAAGTATAGAGAAATGGACAGGGAAGTATGTTTTCTATCAAACTGACCAGTTAGCTCCTGAGCATGACTGGGATTCACGTACATAAACATTTACTTTAAGAAATTTAAGAAGCGGTTAAAAGTGCTAACATTGCTGCCTGCAGTGGTCTGCTGAGATTTTCCACCACGGGCACCCTGGAGCCTTGTCTAAATCTCACGCAGAGGAAGAGCAACGAACCATGGCAGCTATGGTAGCCCTTTGCAGTGGGCTAGGAAGGAGAACGTTAACGCACTTCGTAAGGGCTGCTGTCTGCCTCACAGATTCGGGGCCTCATGCAGTGCTGCGGAGAAGTTGTTCACAATATAAACGGGCAACCAGCAACGAGGATCTGCCTGTTCCGGTGGAAGATCCTTATAAGGAGCCCCTGAAAAAATGTATCTTGTGTGGAAAACGTGTAGATTATAAGAATGCACAGCTTTTATCTCAGTTTATTTCTCCATTTACTGGATGCATTTATGGAAGGCACATAACAGGTCTTTGTGGGAAGAAACAAAAAGAAGTCACAAAAGCAATTAAGAGAGCTCAAATAATGGGGTTTATGCCAGTTACATACAAGGATCCTGCATATCTCAAAGACCCTAAAGTTTGTAACATCAAATACAGGAAGTAAATTCTATAAAGTTATCATCAATAAATTTATTTTACAGTTGTGTGGTGGTAATACTGGCTCAGACTGTAAGATTTAATAACCTTTCAGTAGAGAACTGATAGGCTAAATCTTATCAAACTATAAAGTATTATGTTTTTAATTCTTAATAATTTGAAATTATATGAGGAAAAAGTGTTTCAAGAGTTTAAGTTTCCTCTCCATATCAGAATGTTCATTAAGTAAATCAGATTATTTAAAATGTTAATACTTGTTACATTTTACATACATATGAATTAAAAAAAGGTACTATGGGATTTTCACTTAAAATAAATAAATAAATAAATAAAATCTCACGCAGCCTTCAAACAACAGCTCAGTTCCCACTTCCTTACACCAGTCTCTCCCATTTTAGCCTGAGGGGCTCTTCCCCCAACCTGCATCCCCGTTTCCAGGTACTAGTTGAGGAGTCAGGGTCTGGAACCTGTTTTGCCTTCCCAACTACATTAAAGATTCCCGAGCGAGGCCACCTGCCTTCTCTTCTCTATGTTGGCCATAAAGCCTCGCACAGCTCCGTGAGGGAATGAAATGTCCAGATCATCAACAGGCAAGACCACAGGAAAGCGTCACGGACACTTTCAGACAGAGACATTCTCAGATTGTGTGAGGTGCTCTTCAACGGGGAGTGAATCTACTAGTTACGGCTGGTGGTGTGGTTATTGCACTCGTTTGCGTATATAAAAATAGCCCAGCTACTTCCTCTCTGGTAAGGTCTTACAAACAGCTAAACTGGAACCATCGCTACAGTGGCTGCATACTATTTTCACGACCAAGATGCAATCAAGGCTCCAGGGAATCTAAGAGCTAACGGAGCTCCCCGCCCCCCAGAAAACGGAGTCCCCACCACCTAGTACCCCAAATGTACTGGAAAGCACCGTGGTTGTGAGCCTGACCAACCTAAGTCCTAACGTGAGCAATTTCAGCCGGTTTTCCTCACCTGTAAAATGAAGATAAGAGACACTACCTCAAGAGTAGTGAGAAGTAAATAAAGAATGAATATAGGGAAAACTGCTCCAACCACCGCAATCACAATCCCAGGAGACTGGGCCTCCTTGGTGAAAGGCAAGCTCCTCCCTTATTATTCTGACATGACCGAAGATGGAGCGGAAGTGACAGAGGTGCACCTTGAAGGTTTCCTCCTTCAACTTGGACTTCACCGATCCTTGTGAAATGGGTCCCATCTTTTATTCATTCCTGCCTCTTCCTTGCTGCCTGCAAGATTCCACTTGCTGCCTGCAAGATTCCAAGGTTCATGGTCTCAAATCTCAAACTGACACTCTCCACTGACCAGCAACGCTACTGCTCTTCTCTAGTAAGTGTGCTCTCTCCTCAGACCTTCCTGCTCCACACTCCCAATGGCTTACATGTCACCATATGAACAAATGAATGGTTTGCTTTGGTATTCTCACTCATATCTCTACAATTAATAAGCACCTACTACTGCAGACCATGCATTATCCTAGGTCCTGGGGTATAGCAGCAAATGATGGACAAAGTCCCTCCCCTTGTGGTACCTACAGTCTAGACAGCAGAGAAAAGAAAATACATAAAGCAAGGTAAATATCATGTCAGATACAAATAAATGCTATAGAAAAATTAAGCGGAGTAAAGAGCGAGGCTGTGTTACCCACCATGGATTTCCTGCTCTCTTTTCAGATAAAAGATAGGACTGCTACCCACCCACACCTGCCCCTAACTGAAGTGGCATATGGCAATGTGACTTGCTTTGGCCAAGTCAACATAATAGATGTCACTTCCAGGCAAATACTGGAGAGCCAGTGAATGGCCTTTCCCTTGGCCAATGATCAAGATGGTGGCTATGCTACGAGCCGGACGCCAGAGTTCAAGACAATACGGAACAGGCCCTGCCAGGCGACTCACAATGGAGGGACGCCAGCAGTAAGAAACAAACCTTGTCATTTCAGGTCCCTGACATTTTAGAGCCGTTTGCTACTGCAGCATAACTAGCCTATCCTGGTTTAGGGGAAAACATAGCGCCAGTGGGGAAGGAAGGGTGCTCTTTTTCATAGCGTGATTAGAAGGCCCTCTGACAAGGTGAAATTTGAGCAGACACCTGAGGATGTGGGCCTTGCAGATATCTGGGGAGCAGTATTCTTGGCAAGGAAAAGAGCAGGTCCAAGTGCTGTGAGACAGGAACACACTCAATACGATCAAGAAACAGTAAGGCTGCCAAGGCAGCTAACAGCAGAACAAGCGAAGAGCAGAGGCAGGATGTAAGGTCAAAGAAGTCGAGGAGCAAACAGTGTAGAACCCTATAGGCCACAAGGACTTAACCTTTCCTTGGAGAGTGACAGGATGCTCTTGGGGACATTACAGAAAGGAATAACATGATCAGACATGTTTTCAGAGGATCGCTTTGGTTGCTAAATTGAGAAGAGATTACAGGAAGGCAAGCATAGAAGAAAGGAGACCAGTTAGGAGGCTATCATAATAATCCAGACAAAAGATGACGATGGCCTGGACCAGGGTGTTGGGTGGGGCTAGTGAGAGTGGTCAGAACTGGGGTATGTTTGGAAGGTACAGCAGGCAGGATTTGCTGGCTAACTGAGTATAATGTATGGGCAAATGGAGAAATCAAAGATGACCCAAAGTTTTTGTTGCGAGCCAGTAGAACTGTTGCCAGATCCTAAGATGGAAAATTCTGTCACCCTCGCCCTTACCATGCCTACAAGATCTGGGCCCACCTTGCAAACTGTCCCCTAACCCCCATCTCCACCCCCCACCTCCTAGGGCTCTACCCTTTATACCACTGCTGCTCAAAGTAACTAGTCCACAAGCTGTTACCAGTCCAGAGTGAGAACAGAACGTGAACCAACACACTATGTCCTGCAGGGAGGAAGTCCTGCTATGAAAAAAATATCACCTGTACTGAACACGTGCTCTGCTCAAATGTCACCTTATCTGTGGATACTCCATGTAATTCTCTATCCCCTTTGTCCTGGTTTATTTTTTCACAGCACTTATCAACAACTGACTTATTAATAGTGATTCACCAAATCTATGATTCAAACTGACTGTAAGATATACCATTATTTTAGGTGTTACTAAAAAAGAAACACTGCCAAATAATTCTAAGATGGCATCAACTGTAAAGTACAACCCAATATTAGAAACGCTAAAATGTGAAAAAATGCAAGTTGGCATCAAGAAATACATTTCTCTGTGTATTGTCCATCTCCCCATCCTCAGTCCCCACTAGAATATAAGCCTCTTAAAGGCAACAATTTTGTCTGCATATGTTCACTGCTGCAGGATCCCTCATGCCTATAACAGGATCAGGTCCATAAAGGCAGTCAACAAGTGTTTATCTAATGAAAGGTGACTGATATATAAGAGATGCTCAATAAATACTGGTGAAAGCAACCCAAGCACCCATTGATGGATAAGTGGAGAAACAAAATGTGGTATATCCATAAAGCAGAATATAATGAATTATATTCAGTCTTTAAAAGGAAGGAAATTCTCACATGCCACATCATGGATAAACTTTTTGGGCATTATGCTGAAGGGAATAAGCCAGACACAAAATGATAAACACTGTATGATTCCATTTCTATGAGGTACCTAAGGAGTTAAATTCAGAGACAGGAAACAGAAAGGTGGTTTTGAGGGGCTGGGGGGAGAGAAGAACAGGGAGCTGCTTAATGGGTACAGAGTTTCAGTTTTGCAAGATGAAGAATTCTAGCGACAAATGCACAACAATGTGAATGTGCTTAATGCCATGGAACCATACACTTAAAAACGGTTAAGATGGCAAATTTATGTTATGTGTATTTTACCACAATTAAAGACTAAAAATAAATAAAATATTTACTGAATTAATAATGGATCCTATTTATACAATCATTTTAATTCTGTCTAGGACTAAACCCCTAAAAATACAGACCTGATTACTTAACTCAGATAACACTACCATTAAGTCCTCCTCTTAAGATGAGCAAAAATCAGACCCCAAAACCTATGAGGAAAGTAACAGATAATATACAATGGTCCAAGA